CCCCCCAGGGGCGGGGCTGACCCCCGGCCCTGGTCCCAGCCCCAGTGCCCAGGCAGGCTGCCATAAGGCACGAAGCACAACCCTGGGGGGTCAATGCAGGGGGCCAGCCCCCAGAGGACAGGAGGCAGCAGTGCCCCCGCCAGCAATGGCCGCAGCCCCCAGGAGGGGGCTGGTGCGGGCAAGGGGGCAGGGAGAGGGAGCAGGAGCCCTGCAGCAACCCTCCTCCAAACCCAGCATGGAAGCAGGGCCCTGCGGCAGTCCTGGGACACAACGTGGGGGCAGAGGAAGGTCCAGCAGCAGTGATGGCCGCAGCCAGAGGTCTCCAAGCTCATTTTCGCACCCAGGCCAAGAAAATGAGGCATCCAGAGCCATCAGAGTTGGCTCTAGCACCTCTTGGGTGAGCATGAAGTGATTGTGCCCCTGTACTCGGCACTGGTGAGGCCGCACCTCGAATACTGTGTTCAGTTTTGGGCCCCTCACTACAAGAAGGATGTTGAGATGTTGGAACGTGTCCAGAGAAGGGCAACGAGGCTGGTGAGGGGTCTGGAGAACAAGCCTTATGAGGAGCGGCTGAGGGAGCTGGGCTTGTTTAGCCTGGAGAAAAGGAGGCTGAGGGGAGACCTCATCGCTCTCTACAACTACCTGAAAGGAGGTTGTAGCGAGGTGGGTGTCGGTCTCTTCTCCCAAGTAACTGGCGAAAGGACGAGAGGAAATGGCCTCAAGTTGCGCCAGGGGAGGTTTAGATTGGATGTAAGGAAAAATTTCTTTACTGAAAGAGTAGTTAAACATTGGAACAGGCTGCCCAGGGAAGTGGTGGAGTCCCCATCCCTGGAAGTATTTAAAAGACGGGTAGATGAGGCGCTTAGGGACATGGTTTAGTGGGCATGGTGTTGTTGGGTTGATGGTTGGACTCGATGATCTTAGAGGTCTCTTCCAACCTTAACGATTCTATGATTCTATGACCACGCCGGTGTCCAGTGCTGCCTGGGGAACAGGGACCTCGCCCTATGATCCAAGGTGTGGGCACAGCACGGAGGAGGGAGGGGTGGCAGTGACGGCAAGGAAGCAACATGACTGCAACCACACCCCCAACGCAAAATTGTTAATTTATTATTATTAGGAGGCAGAAAAATTGTACAGTTACAAGAATCATTTCCCAACAGAGGTCAAATCTGAGCCAAAATATCTCTTAAAAAAAACAAAAGGGGGGTGGGGGGTGACAACACTTTACAATTCATTAAATTAAAAAAAAAAAAAGAAAAAGGAAACCTCTTTGTGCAATTCTGCAAAAACGAGAACAGAAGAAAACCCCCAGGCCTCACCGCCCCGGAGCCGAGCAGGGGAAGGGGCAGCGAGAGGGGCCCTGCAGCCCCCCACCCCTGGGCCACTGCCACCCTCTCCCCCAGCCCTGAGCTGGGGACAGGCAGCTGCCT